CAGCTGTTCAAGCGGTCAGCTGGTCCACGCGTCCATGGTCTTCGTTATTCGGTCGGCCAGTCAGCTGGTCAATTGGTCAGATGGTCAAGCGGTCAACAGGTCAACTGGTCAACGTATTTGAGGAAGAAGAGTGAGAGCACGAGGAGGGCAGAGGTTCCAGACAATGTAGGGGTGCAGTGAGTGCGTGTTGTCTGTCGGGCGTGCAGACCGACCACCATATGGGGGCTGATAATTGCGGTTGCGCGTTCCCATCTTGGCTTGCAGGTGCCTGCAGAGATGGTCGCAACCAGCAACGTCTCTTCAGCGTCGTCGCGAGTTCATTCGCGCCTTCTGCTTCCACTCCAGGCCCTTCGTTTCTTTTTGGGGGCGCGGAGTGTTTCTAGAGTTTCTTCGAGTGCTTGAATTCCCTGCTCAATCGTGGATCGTTCTACCATGGGTCCAGCCCCCCAGTGCAAGTCCCGGCGGCAACGATTGGATTCGCGAGGGTCGTAACTCTTTGGGTTTTTTGCGGGGCATGGCGGGCAGCGTTGTCCACGGCAACGTGTTCGGGGAACGATGCGGTCTGGCTCTCCTCAGGGTAGCCTGTTGCGAGTAGTCGTTTTTCCCCACATCCAAAGTGGGATTCTTGTTTTCTCTGGACACCCCGCGCAGGAACAGGAACACACACACCCACTCACACTCACTCACACTCTCTCATCATCACCCTCATCAGCATCATCGATGATGCTCTCTCACATGCTTAGTCACTCACATACTCATCATCATCATCATCACTCGCACTCTCTCACACGCTCACGAACATCATCATCATCATCATCGGCATCGGCATCATCCTCATTCAAACATCATCATCGCCACCACCACTCACAATCAATCATCATCCTCTTCACCACTCATCTTCACCACCACTCATCATCCTCATCCTCATCATCGTTGAGTAAATTGTGAGGAAGTCTCAGGCGGGAGCCCCCTCCCTATGGGGCCCGCAGATCATGTTGGTAATCCGAGCGGGTCATCGGAACCTGTAACTGTCGTCACTTTTGGGCTCGTCAAGCCTGAAATGGAGGAAGTCTCAGGCGGGAGCCTCGTCTGTGAGTGAATTGGGAGGAAGTCTCAGGCGGGAGCTCCCTCCCTATGGGGCCCGCAGATCATGTTGGTAATCCGAGCGGGTCATCGGAACTTGTAACTGTCGTCACTTTTGGGCTCCTCAAGCCTGAATTTGGAGGAAGTCTCAGGCGGGAGCCTCGTCTGTGAGTGAATTCTGAGGAAGTCTCAGGCGGGAGCCCCCTCCCTATGGGGCCCGCAGATCATGTTGGTAATCCGAGCGGGTCATCGGAACCTGTAACTGTCGTCACTTTTGGGCTCCTCAAGCCTGAAAATGGAGGAAGTCTCAGGCGGGGCCTCGTCTGTGAGTGAATTGGGAGGAAGTCTCAGGCGGGAGCTCCCTCCCTATGGGGCCCGCAGATCATGTTGGTAATCCGAGCGGGTCATCGGAACCTGTAACTGTCGTCACTTTTGGGCTCGTCAAGCCTGAAATGGAGGAAGTCTCAGGCGGGAGCCTCGTCTGTGAGTGAATTCTGAGGAAGGCTCAGGCGGGAGCCCCCTCCCTATGGGGCCCGCAGATCATGTTGGTAATCCGAGCGGGTCATCGGAACCTTGTAACTGTCGTCACTTTTGGGGTCGTCAAGCCTGAATTCGGAGGAAGTCTCAGGCGGGAGCCTCGTCTCTGAGTGAATTGTGAGGAAGTCTCAGGCGGGAGCTCCCTCCCTATGGGGCCCGCAGATCATGTTGGTAATCCGAGCGGGTCATCGGAACCCTGTAACTGTCGTCACTTTTGGGCTCCTCAAGCTTGAATATGGAGGAAGTCTCAGGCGGTTTTGTCCAGGGCGGGGGCGAAGCAGCTCGCGGCAGAGCTGGGCTTCGTGCTGCCTTCCGCCTGAGCGCGGCTGCGCCTCGCTCAAAGCCCGCGGGGTTGTCCCAACGGCTTGGTCTTGCGCGCCAGCGGCTCGCGGGGTTGCCCCGACAGCCTGGCCCGCGGGGTTGTCCCAACGGCTGCGCGACGTGACCAGTAGAGAACGCGCCTGTGCTGGCCGTGGCGGCGACGGCGCCGAGGAACATCGACATGCGCGCTCATGCAACAGGAAGGGGAGGAGGTGGCGGGGCGCGGAACAAACAGGGGGGCGAGGATGGGGACAACGTAAGGAGTGGAAGGGGGGCCCGCGCCAAGGCGACAGGAAATATACGCAGAAGAGACAGCCAGGACGCCTCACCAACCACGAGGACGACGGTGATGGTTTTTTTCCAGATTCGCCCAGAGGATTCTTATGTGGGGTTCTTCCGTCGGAGTAATTATTTTTTCCTGTGCAAGCTCTTCGGCACCGCCTGAACCCCGCGCCCTCCGGCCGCCTGAGTCCCCGCCCGCCCGCGCGCTGTCTCCCCAATTAGCGCTTCGAGCGCCCCGCCTAGCTCTTGACCGGAAGAGGCCCGCTCTCGACCCGCCGACCAAAAAAGTTGCGAGTAGTCGCTGGCGCGCCGAAGGTTCGTGCGCCGACGTCCGAGTCCATGGTCCGCTCCTGGTACCCGCTTGTTTGATCCCCACATCCTCAGGATGGAGTTTTTTTCATTATTCTGACTGCGCGGGGAACGAGAGAACACCTTCCACCCTCAGGTCATCATTCTCTGACTCGCTCACATGCAGACCCACTCATATTCAGCCTCAGTCATACTCGGATGCGCTCGCTCGTAGACTCCTGATACCCAGGTTTCTCATGCTCGGGGTCACTCATATGCAGACTCACTCGCACTCCTGGTATTCCCGCGCTCAGACTCACACGCACGTTGTGAGGATGTCTCAGGCGAGGCGCTGGTTTCAGTACTCCCAAAGGGGGGGCGCCAGGGGGGATATCACATGCCGTTTCGCGCCCATATTGGGGGGATGCCTCACGCGGTTTACCTGTGTGGGTGCTCAACATCCTTCTCTTTCGGATCAGTTTCCGAGGACATCTCAGGCGAGGCGCTGGTTTCAGCACTCCCAAAGGGGGAACGCCAGGGGGTATATCACGGGCCCGTTCGCGCCCAGATTGGGGGGATGTTTCGGGCGGTTTGCCTGTTTGGGTGCTCAACATTCTTCTCTTTCGGAATAGTTTCCGAGGATGTCTCGGGCGAGTGGGGGGACGGCTCAGGCGTATTGCCTGTTTGGGTGCTCAGCATTATATTCATTCGGAACAGTTTCCGAGGATGCCTCAGGCGAGGCGCTGGTTACAGCACTCCCAATGGGGGTCGCCAGGGGGTATTGCACGGGCCCGTTCGCGCCCAGATTGGGGGGATGTCTCAGGCGGTTTGCCTGTGTAGTTGCTCAACATTTTTTTTTGGAACAGTTTCACATGTCTCGGGCGAGTGGGGGGATGGCTCAGGCGTATTGCCTGTTAGGGTGCTCAACATCCTTCTCTTTCGGATCAGTTTCCGAGAACATTTCAGGCGAGGCGCTGGTTTCAGCACTCCCAAAGGGGGCCGCCAGGGGGTATTGCACGGGCCCGTTCGCGCCCAGATTGGGGGGATGTCTCAGGCGGTTTGCTTGTTTGGGTGCTCAACATGAGATGCACCTATGGGGATCTCCGCGTCGAGGAATTTGTTGGTGGTGCAATGACCCTTGTCCGTTGCCGATGACGAAGTTGTGTTTTGTCTTGTTCGGCGAAAATCGGGCGCGGCTTAGAAGGGGGGTGATGACTAAGGGGAGGGAGTATCATGGCTGGGGCCATGAAACCTCCCGAGATTTCATGGCGCCCCCTCTTATTTCAGTACGTCCTTGGCCCCCCCTTGGCCGCGCACGTGCGTCGGACCATGACTTGCACCCTCCCCTCTTTGGACGCCCCCGACGGAGCTGTGTCTCATTCGGCGAAGCGCCTTCCCGCAGCTGTGTTTGTGGCTCGTGCAGCTGGGCAGCCCGGCGCCCCAACGGAACGCTCCACTTCGCTGCCCTCGAGGAAGATGATCGGCGGCGTTCCTCCGCCCGGGGGAGCGGACGGGGCACTCGGAGTTGACAGCGAGCGAGGAGTCGGCCGCGCGCAGAAGGGGGGGTGGGGGGAGGGGGAGAACTTCTTGGGAGGAGGCTGCTTCTTAGAAGGCGCGGGCCTTCTCCGCAGATGTCAGGCCGGCGCCATGTCGGAAGCAGCCTCCTTCTAAGAAACCGCCCGCCCCTCCCTGTACCCCCTGATGCGCGCCGCCCAGGAGGAGGGAGGAACGGGAATGGGGAGGCTCGTCTCGGAGTCGGCATAGAGAGAGCGGCTACCCTCCTCTGGACCCAGTCGAGAGCCCACATTCAGGTCGACACATGCACTCCCAGTGGTCTCCCAGTTTCGGCGCCGGGCTGACGCCTGCCGCACGGGCGCGCCGCTTGGGCGAGGAAGAGAGAGGATCGGGGCGCGTCAGACGGATACGGAGGATGAGGATTCGGAGGAGCGGGGGAAGAAGAGGGGAATGAGAGAGTAATAATGGGGTGGTGGAACATGGATGCGATCACGTGGACTGCAGATTGGGTAGGAACCAGGGTGACGTTCAACCGATTGCGCAGACTTCGCGATGCAGCCCCTGGCGAAACCGATGTGCGATGCGATATGTTCACGTCCTTGTCCTGGACAGTCATCCTCGCCATGCTCAGGCGTAAATGTCGTATCGATGGTCGTGGTGCCTGTTGTGGCGACACAATTCGTGGTGGCGGGAGCGACAATGTCACATAGGATCAACATAACAATATTGACGTTGGACATGTCGCGGCCGACATCGAGATCGAATACGACTTAGATTTTGATTGTCGACGGTTGCGGCGTCTGCTAGCAATGCCAGTTACAGTGTTTATTCGGCATGTTGTTTGAAATGTTGGCAACGATGGTGATTCTGAGATTGGTGGTGATTGAGCTGCTTGCGACGATGGGGGATGTTGGTGGTGATGACGACTCTGATCGTGATGACGGCACGCCGATGAAAACGGCCTCAATGACGGCGACGAGGATGTGATGAGACGAGAGAGGAGGCACGCACGCGGTTCCCAGCCATGATGAGGCTCCTCGTGGGGATGGCAATGACGACAGCCAGGATGGTCCTAAATATAACGCAAGGTGGATGAGGATAGAAGCTTCCGCTGGAAGGTGTTGGAGACTGTACGCCGCACTCTGGGTATGGGGCCTGCTTCGTACGACGCGATCGAGCCTCAGGACCCTTGCCAGAAGGGTGGAAACATGGTGCCAAGCAAGACTCGGGACGATGGCTGGAGTACGCTTGCTAATGCTGTTGTTTGTAAGGAGTAGGAGGAGGAGCACGTTCATGGAGACGCAGAGGAAGGACCTGACTTGGTCGAGGCGGTGCTTTCGTGGTCATACCGCCTCCACCGTTTTGTAAGCTCTTGCATTGCGGCGCGCAGAGCTGCATTTTATCGTAATTTTTGTTGAGAGGACCTCTTGGATCAGCAGCTTTGCCGAAAGGCTGCTTTGGCATTCAATGTCCTACCTCGCTAGGCATCCTTTTCCTTGAGGTTCGCTGCCCGTGGGGGCGTTGATTCACCCTTGGGTGATCTTCGATGAGATCGCATCCGATATCATCAGGCTGACTTCTGGATGCCTGTTTGCCACTCACGCTGTCGCAATTGGTGGTCTCGGGGCGACACGGAGCCAACCCGTTCCATCCTGTCCCTTCTCTTTTTCTTCCACCTTTTTCCAATCTTCTGGACCGTTGCTCCTTACCCCCGTTCCTCTCATGCTTCTCGGTCTTCTGGGCTCCCGCAGTTTCCTACTTTCTCGTCCTTGTCCTCCTCCTGCCCCCTCCTTCATATCTTCATGCACGTTCCCCTTTCTCCTTCCCACTCCTCGTCCTACTACAGCTGCTCCTCCTATTCCCCCACCCGTTTTCTCTAATTTGAGGAAGGGATGGGGGAGGGGTTGGAGTGGAGGTAGTAGGAGATGTCCGATCATTTGTATGTGCGGAGTGATGGCGAGGCAGGGGAGGGATGGACCCAGGGAGGGCCGGAGAGAGAAACAAGGAGGAGGAAGAGGTGAAGGCTGATGACGAGGGAGGGGTTGGCCCGGTCGCCGTGCACGCGGCCGGCAGGAGGGAGCCGGACGATGGTCAGGAGGTCACGAGGACCCCGGGACCCGACGTCCTGAGAAACCCGCCGACAGGCGCGTCCCGCTTCGGCGAGGCTGCTGCGGCATCGCAGGGGGAAGGGCGCGCCGCCGGAGGGGGCGCGGGCGCTCCCTCCGCCGCGGCGCCGGAGGTGGTGGCCCGCCGGGCCAGTGTCCGTCGCGGCGCGGGCTCTCGCCTCCGCGCCTCCGCGCCCGCGCTCCGAGCAAGCGCGGCCCAGCGGCCACGAGTCTGGCTCGGGTCGCCCCTTGCCCGGCGGCCTGGGCTCGCGCCGCCTGGGCGTCCGGCGGTTCGCCCGAGACTTCGTCTGCGGAGTCGGCGCAGCCGCCGGGCGCTGCGGGCGCGCCGGGGCGGCGCCTGGAAGTGGCTTGACGGTCGCCCGCTGATTGCCGGATTGGGGCGACATGTTTCAGAGTGCCATGTTCTGCCTCAGTGGATTCGCGCCAGGCGGGCCCGACGAGGCAGACGGCTCGACCCTGCTGCCCCGCCTCCGCCGCCTGTTCAAGACGGGCGGCGTCTGCCCCGTTGAGAGCCGCGACGAGCTGCTCGCCGCGAGCGCCGTCGTCCCCGCAGGCCACCTGATGGGCGAGGCCGCGCGCGGGGAGCCGGCCCGGGGAACGTCTTTACCTGGTGCCGACGGGCTGCGGCGAGCGCCGCCATGCTGGGCTGCCTCTGGCACGCAAGTCTGGGCAGGGCCACGTTTCCCGCCATGGCTGGGGTCAGCGTGGTGAGCCCCTCGAGTTGAGTCGCGCTCTCGCGCGCGTGGTCTCGGTGGAGTCGCCCGCGGGCCTTTTGCCTTCGGCGCGGCGCCGCGGGGCGCCGCGAGATGCTGCGACTCTCCTATGGCCAGCTGGGCTTCGCAACCTCTTCGTTTGGGCCAGCGTCGCAGCGGGAGACGCGCTGCCGTCCGAGGTGACGGCCGCCGCGCGCCGCGTCGCCTTCGTGGAGGCGCGCGCGGGCGTTGCTGTGAATTCGGGGATCGAGTTCGACGACCGCGAGGCTCGCCTCCCCCCGTTTTTCGCCTCCGGGCGGGGGCGAGCCGCGTGCGCCTCGCGCAGCCGTGCGGCGGTGAAGTGCCATGCTGGTCCTGTGGTATGCGCGCGGCCTCAGCGCTGCCTCTGCGGCCGCCGCACCTGATGCTGCCGACGCCGCCGCGGCGGCGGCCGGCCCCCGAGCGGGGGCGAGCCCGGAGTTTAGTTTTGCCCGTCATCGCGCCTCCTCTGTACGTGGCTCTTACCTTGCCCTTCCTCGAAGCGTTCTGCGCTCCAAGTCTGTCGACGCCTTCGAGTTCTGGCTCGTGGGGCATTCGCGCGTTGCTCCAGCCGCGCCTTGCCGCATCGGGCCTCTGCTCTCGCGGTTTCTAGCCATTTTGGGCGCGTGGCTTCGCGGCGCGGGCTTCCCGCGCAACATTCTTGCCGCTCTGGGCGTCCAAGCTCAGCGCCCACGCTGGCGTGCTTCTCTTCCGGTAGCCTGGGATATGGCCGAGCTGAGGGCTTGCCGAGCCCCCCGCGCTCCGCTCGCTGCTGCCCCGCGCCCTCCTTCGGGCGATGGTTGGGCTCGTATTGGTTTGGGATTCGTCATGTGTCTCCGCCCTGGTGAACTGCTGGTCGCCTGCCGTTGTGATCTGTTGCAGCCTAGCGATAGGTCGGAAACCAGCGGTGATGCCTGTCTTGCCATGAAGACGCCGAAGAACCGCCGTGCCTATACTACGCAGCGCTCTCGCTGCTCCGATGGGTCGTCGGTGGGGCTCCTGGAACTGGTGTTTCAGCATTTGTTCCACCGATCCATTGTCGCCCTTCGGGCAGAGCGTTTCCCGCACTCGGTGGAACCATTTGCTTTCGGCTACGGGCGCCCCGCTATCCAGCGCGTCCTGCGGGCTGAAGCTTCCGCGTGCATTTTGCGAGGTTTTGGGGCGGCAGACTTCTATGTAGCCACGGAAGACGCCCCTCGCATCTTCTGGCGTGGCCGCTGGCGCCAGGCCCGTCCCCGCGCGCAACTCGGTCTTCTGCGGCATCTCGGCCCCTTGTCCTCTCTCCGCCCTCTGTCTCCTCTGAGGCTTGCCGCGCTGCTGAACGTGCCTCCAGCGCTCAGGACATCTTCGTGTCCTGGGCGGCGCCGCACGGCCCGCCCGCGCGCTCGGGGGCTTGGCCACCTCGAGCTCCCCCGCGCGCGCCTGAGGAATAGGAACGGATTGAGGATGCCGAGGAGACAGAGATCACGAGGATGGGAGGGATGAGGAGGAGGAGGAGGAGGAGGAGGAGGAGGAGGAGGAGGAGGAGGAGGAGGAGGAGGAGGAGGAGGAGGAGGAGGACGAAGAGGAGGAGGAGGAGGAGGAGGAGGAGGAGGAGGAAAACGAAGAGAAGGAAGAGGAGGACAATGGCCCCAACGGTGTCAACATGTGTGCCGAGGTCCCCGCCGGTTCCCAGAAGTTCGCGGAGGCTTCGAGACGCCTGCAGAGGCCTAGAATTTTCAAAGTACGTCCAACACTTCGACGTTCGATCCTCGAAGGACGCGGCATGAAAGGGGATGCGGCAGGAAATGGGGACGGTCGGTCGTGCCCAGGGCTGGGAAGAATCGCCCCAGAGCGTCCCATAACGCCCCCAGAGGGCTCAGGAAAACACTGCACTGGCCGCGGCGCCCGATACCTCGTCAATAACCGTCGTCGATTTGTCCTGGTCTGATAATGTCCCAGTCCTGGTTTCGTCTTTAAGGCGTGCGTTCCTCGTCCAGGAAGGCAGGCAGTACGTCTTCGACCACGGCCACCTCGCTGCCGCCGTCGAGTCCGAGTTCCTGCAAGCAGGCCAGGCGCCGTGGTCGTTCGTCGTTGTCGTCAGCGGCGGTGGCTGTGGCGGCGTCGGCGATTGCATCGGCGCCAGCGTCGGCGTCGTCGTCGACTTAAGCGCCATCGTCGTCCTCGTCAGTCGTTGTCCGTCGCCATTTGTCGTCGTTCGTTGTCGTTCGCCGTCGGACGAGGCGGGGGAGGAGTTGGAGGTGATAGGAGGGGGTGAGGAGGTTGCGGAGCAGGAGGAAAGGGAGACGACGGAGAGGATGAGGTCTCTGAGGGCTTTTATGAGACTGCTGGATTCGAACAACCTTGGGACGCAGCCCGACGCCCACGCTTACGGTGAGCGAGCGCTGAGCAAGCTCAGCTTTCCGAGGGAGTTCAGCAGGCGACGAGCGGGCCAGACGCCCACGGCGCAAAAAACGGCCCAATGGCCACAGGCGAGTCCAGCCGCGGCGACGCGAAGAGGGACCAGCCAATATTCCAAGGCGCCCAGCCCTAGCGACAAGGCAGGGCCAATGCGCCCGACACAGCCGCCACCGACGGGCCGAGCGCCTCTCAGCCGCCGCTTGCGGCCTCCACCACCTTCATCATGACGACTTTGTCGAAGATCCAATGACCCCTCTTGGTCGCCTCCTTCTGGCGGTTTTTGATCACCACAGCCTCCTTGCTGACAATTTTGCCTGAATGCCCATGCGTTCTGGCCTTCGTCGTCTTCTCGTTCTCCTAGAAGGTCATGGCTGCGCCTCCATCGCTTGCTCCCGATGAGGATTAGGAGGAGGAGGAGGCTGGGTCAGAGGACTGTCGGCCGTCACTGAGTGCTCTTTCTCGGGTTCAGTATTCCCACTGGTGCTTAGGATGTTTCCTTCTCTCTTGGGGATTGGAGGAGGGGGTTGAGGGTGCGGTGTTGGAGGTGGGGGAGAATGGGTTGGTGGAGGAGGGGGAGGAATGATGATGACGGTGATGATGGTGATGGTGATGTTGATAATGATGATGATGATGACGATGATGATCCTCATGATGGTGGTGGTGGTGGTGATGACGCTGATGATGAAGATGGTGATGACGACGATGATGCTGTTGCTG